GTGTCAGAGGAACTGATGTGAGAAAAAAAAAATCCCAAGTGGTCGTTGCTGGCTGTGAAGTTAGGAGGGGGCCAGGGAAGTGGGCAGCCTCTTTAAGCTGGAAAACTCAAAAAAGCAGATTCTGGAGCCTCCAGAAAGGCACACAGCCCCTGCCCACACCTTTATTTTGGCCCAGTGAGATCCACTTGGGACTGCTGACCTTCAGAACGGGTAAGATAACCAATGTGTGCTGTTTTAAGCAACTAAGTTGGGTGTAATGTCTTACAGCAACAATAGGAAGTGAACAGTGTTGAAGTGTGATAGTGGGTGTCTGTCCTTGCACCTCGCTGCCAGCTTCTCAAGAACAAGAGCCGTACTGTCGTCTCCTTTATTTACCGGACTCCAGCGCAGGCTCTGGCACACAGTCAGGGCTCAGTCAATATTTGTGGAACTAACGAATGAAAGAAGAGAGGCTGCTCTCACTTTTTTTTTTTTAAGATTTTATTTATTTATTTGAGAGAGAGAGAGAGAGGGAGAGCACGAGCAAGGGGGAGCTGGTGGTAGAGGGAAAGAGAGAAGCAGGCTGCCCGCTGAGCAGGGAGCCTGGTGATGCAGGACTCGATCCCAGGACCCCGGATCGTGATCTGAGCCGAAGGCAGAGGCTCAACGGACTGAGCCACCCGGGAGCCCGCTGCTCACTTTTTTGTGCTTCTACACAGGCTCGGAGATTGCAAAGCAGCCAGTGTCTTTCCCTTTCCCCAAGCCCCAGGGACCCTAAGCCCTCTGACCTCCCGTTTCATGGGTTTCCTTGTCCCCCATTGCAGGTCTTATGCTGGTCCTCGCTGTGGAGCCTGGCCCTCTCCTCTGCAGCCCTGTGTGCAGGAGGAATTGAGATGGAAGACACCTGTCACCTATGTACCTGACCATGCCCGCAGGCCTCCTGGGGCAGGGATGGGGGGTGGGGGGGCAGGTTATGCTGGAAACTGGTTTCTCCCTCTCTAGGATCCTGCCTGCTTTCCTCTCTTCTCTGTAGCTGCCTCCACCCCCCCACCCCCACCCCATTCCCCAGCTGGCTTCGAGCTTTTCCAAACCCCTTGAATGAGGGATGGAGCTTTTGGTTCATCCCCTTCTTTTTAACCACAAGTCTCCCATCTTTCCTTCTTCCTTCTCTCTCTCTCTTTTTAATTCAGCACAGCATTATCTTTAAAAAGTGTTAATCTGACAACAGCCCAAATTCCTAACAAAAGGGTAATGCGTGAAGTGATCTAGTTCTTGCACGGGGTAGCTTCAAAGTATATTTAATGACCTTAAATCTCAGAGAGCGAAGGGGACAAGATGGGTTCCCATCTGTCGTAGAGCACTTCGCAAACCCCTTCTCATAGGACTCTAGCTGCTTCCAGGAGAGACAATGAAAAGAATTAAAAGAACCCCACTCTCGAGCCGCTTGGGGTTCACTAGAAAGCCACCCAGGGACCCCCTCCGTTCACTTGAGGCAGTGCTGCAAAACCCCCGCAGGCTGGGCTCAATATTGCTCTTTTGCTGCTTCCTTTTGGGTCAGCCAGCCTGTGGCCCTGGCTTCCCTAACCTGGGTCAGCCGGCCTGTGGCCCTGGCTTCCCTAACCTCGCCCTGAGCTTGGCTTCTGCTGCTCTCGCTTTGCTCCACGGGCCTTGTGCTGGGTCCGTCCTGGGCCCAGGCTCTGATGGGCTCGTGTGGTCAGGGCCTAACGCAGCCTTCTCATGCCAGACCTCCTGTAATGCTGCTGATTTGTTCCATATGTTCGATTCTGGTGACTGAGCCAACTCCAGGGCAGTCTTTTGTGGCTAGGTCAGGGAGCAGAGCCAAGAGAACCAACGTGTGGCACCTCGTGCAGCAAGAACGGCCTCCGACGGCCCCGTCCTGGGGCTGCCTCTGCCCGGCGCACGGCTGCCCCTCCAGCACAAACCCTCACCACAATTCTGGTTTTGTAGGTGATATTCACACCTCCTCATTCTCTCCATCTGCCCCCCTTCCCACGCCATGGAGATACCTAGTTAATGAAACAAGTAGGGACACCTGGGTGGCTCAGCGGTTGAGCCGCTGCCTTTGACTCAGGGAGTGATCCTGGAGTTCCAGGATCGAGTCCCACATCGGGCTCCCTGCATGGAGCCTGCTTCTCTCTCTGCCTGTCTCTGCCTCTCTCTCTCTGTGTCTCTCATGAGTAAATAAATAGAATCCTTTAAACAAAAAAAAAAAAAAAGAAAGAAGAAAGAAAGAAAGAAAGAAGAAACAAGTAGATCGTCCAGTTTCACCCTCCCTACCCACAACTCAGTTTCAAGTGCAAACTTTTCATTTTGGAGGAATCCTGAGGTCTCCATCGTCTGATCTGCTGCAGGAGGCTGGAGCCCCACAGCAGTGAGGTCCAGATCTAGGTCAATGGCTCAGGTCCTAACAAGGAACCGTTACTCTGTTCCCGTGTGGGCAAGAGTCTAGGGGCCTGCATGCTCCAAGGGTCAGAAGCAAGCAGGACCAGGACTCTGAGGTCTGTATTCCCTGGTAGCTGACTTTGTCAATTAAAAAAAATTAATTTTACAATTCACAATATTCAAATTCACTTTGCCAATATATAGTATAACATCCAGTGTTCATCTTAAGTGTGTCAATTTTTTATTTTTATTTTTTTAAAGATTTTATTTATTCATGAGAGACACAGAGAGAGAGAGAGGCAGAGACACAGGCAGAGGGAGAAGCAGGCGCCATGCAGGGACCCTGACGTGGGACTCGATCCTGGGACTCCAGGATCATGCACTGAGCCAAAGGCAGATGCTTAACCGCTGAGCCACCACCCAGGCAGCCCTAGTGTGTGAATTTTTTTAAAAAAATTTATTTATTTGAGAGAAGGAGAGAGAGATCATGCACAATTGGAGGGGAGGGGCAGAGGGAGAGGGAGAAACAGATTCCCCACTGAGCAGGGAGCCTGATGGAGGGCTCAATCCCAGGAGCCTGGATTATGACGGAGCTGAATGCAGACTGAGCCAGCCAGGCACCCCGCCCCCCCTTTTAAAGGTTTTATTCATTTATTTTAGAGAGAGAGGCAGAAAGAGAGAGAGAGAGAGAGTGAGACAGAGAGAGCGCACCAGTGGGGAGCAGAGGGAGAGGGAGAAAGTCTGAAGCAGACTCCCTGTCGAGCACAGGGCCGAGGAAGGTGCTGGATCTCACAGCCCTGAGAACAGGACCCAAGCTGAGCATCAGATGCTCGACCAACGGAGCCACCCAGGCACCCCTGACTTTGTCATTCTTGTATGAAGACTCTTTCCTCCCTTCTAGAACTCCACCCCTGCTGCCTAAGCTAGTAACCAGCTCACCTTACCTCCTCCCTTTGATCACAAGCATTTTGCAGAGGCCACCCCAAGGAAATTAAAGGTGTCATGGGTGCTACCAGTGGCAGCTGCTTACCATTCACTTCTCTCTTCATGCAAATTAACACGGCAATGAAACCTGAGGTGGCTAAGCTGTACCTTCCCAGTACCAGATCCAGGGTTGTGCTGGGAGATTTTAGTCATATGCCTGGAAGGTGCAGCTGAGCATTTCTGATTTTAGGAGGAGTGTTATTCTTGAGGAATAAAACTCTGAAGACTGTTTATAAGCTGAAAGCATGATATCACAGCATTTCTTTGAGAAACACTATTTCATTCACGGTATTATAAAATTATGTGATAGTAGGTGATATGTGTGACTTTCTAAAGACTTTTTTTTGAAATGCATTGCATGCCTTTTTAACACAGATATTATCTGTTTAAGTAGTGAGTTTGAACTTCAAACTTTATTTTTAAAGATTTTAAAATTTATTTATGAGAGACACACAGAGAGGCAGAGACATAGGCAGAAGAAGCAGGCTCTCCATGGGGAACCTGATGCATGATTCGATCCCTGGACCCCGGGATCATGACCTGAGCCAAAGGCAGACACTTCACCACTGAGCCACCCAGGCATGTACTTCAAACTTTATTTTTTTTAATTTTTTTTAAATTATTTATTTATGATAGTCATACAGAGAGAGAGAGGCAGAGACAAGGCAGAGGGAGAAGCAGGCTCCATGCACCGGGAGCCCGACGTGGGACTCGATCCCGGGTCTCCAGGATCGCGCCCTGGGCCAAAGGCAGGCGCCAAACCGCTGCGCCACCCAGGGATCCCGTACTTCAAACTTTAAAGAGTCATTAGATTTAATTTTTTAAAATTTTTTTTTTATTATTTTTTTGGAGTGAGAGGGAGTGGGAGGACAAGGGGCAGAGAGAGAAAGAGAATCTCAAGCAGACTCTGCACTGAGCTTGGAGCCTGATGTGGGGCTTGATCTCAGAATCCTAAAACCATGACCCGAGGTGAAAGCAAGAGTTGGACACTCAACCGATGGAGCCACCCAGGTACCCCTGTCTAACTGTTTAATCCTTTTGGAACTTAATGTGCATGCCAGGAGAGAAGAAACTTCCCTTTCTCTGGTTGGACAGCTCATTGTCCTCAAACTATTGAACAACTTATTAGTTAGTTAGATCATTAAAGTTAATTTATCACATATCGCAAAAAAAAAATCCATGTAATCATGGTTATTTCTGCTCTATTGATCTACCCATTTTTGTCTGCCTCTTTGTCAGTATCATGCTGCTTTGGTTACTGTTGCTTCCTTTCTTTTTTAAACAAATTTTTAAATTAAATAAAATTTTAAAAAGACTTTATTTCTTCGTGAGAGATACAAGGAGAGAGAGAGGCAGAGATGCAGGCAGAGGGAGAAGTAGGCTCCATGCAGGGAGCCCAATGTGGGACTCCATTCCGGGTCTCTAGGATCAGGCCCTGGGCTGAGGGCAGATGCATAACTGTTAAGCCACCCTTAGGTGTCCCTAAATTCTTAATTTTTAATTTAAAAAAAATTTTTAAAAAATTTGTTAGAGAAACATTGTGTTTAATGGTAAAGCTTAACACACTCCAGCACCAGGCATGGCCTGAAGTCGAAGCAGCAGGGATGGATAGGTGAACCCTCACGGAGCTTCCTTCACATGGTGAAGAGGATGAGGAAGGCGACCATCAAACAGAAGAGCCCCATGGCCTCAGACAGCGCAAAGCCCAGAATGGCATAGGAGAAGAGCTGCGGCTTGGGAGACGGGTTCCTGGCATAGCCAATGATCAAGCTGCCAAACACTGTCCCAATACCAGCCCCTGAACCAGCCACACCAACTGTGGCAGCCCCAGCGCCAATAACCTTGGCTGCTGTGTCAATGTCCCGGGAGACAACACTGGTCTGAAACTCCCGTCGGGCCACCTGGAGTGGGGAGCTGCTGTAGGATGGCTGTTTAGATGGGATCTCTGGCCTACTCAAGAAGGAGGCAGACAAAGGCCTGATTAGATCCCTGGTACAGCAGTGGATCAGAGCCGGAGGAATGAGTAATGCCCCGGTGGTCTGCATTTTCTCAGTCTCCCGGCTTTATCTCTAGGTCTCCATTTTTAATTTTTTAAAGAATATATTTCAGAGAGAGAGAGAGAGCGCAAACATGAACAGGGAGAGGGGCAGAGGGAGAAGTGGGCTCCCTGCTGAGCAGAGAGCCCTACATGGGCCTCCATCCCAGGACCCCAGGATTGTGACCTGAGCCAAAGGCAGACACTTAATCAACTAAACCACCAGGTGCCCCTTACTGCTGCTTTCTTTACAGGACATTTTGCTACTGTTAGGGCAAGGCCCCTATTAGTGCCTCTTATTCTTTTTTTTTTTTTTTCCTCAAAATGTTTTGGCTGTGCTTATGTGAGTCTTCCAGAAGAATTTCATAATCAACTTGTCAAGTTCCAAAAGCTCCCCATTGGGATTTTGATGAAAATCGCATTAAACTGACATCCTTATAATGTCAAATCTCATCAGGAACATGTTGACTTTTCATTCATTTAGGTCATTTTTAATGTCCTTAAAGTTCTCTGGTTTTCTTCACATATTTCTGGCATAGTTCTAAAAATGTTCGAGGTATATATATACACGCACTTTGTTTCTGTGAATGGGATTTTTTATTTTTCCATTTCAGACTTCAGTTTTCAAGAAAAGGTTTTGTCTTAGTCGAGGTTCTTATGGTAACAATTTACAGAGGTACACTCTGTACTTTTTGAGGCAAACCAAAAAAAAAAAAAGTTGGGTGGGAATTCTTTGGAAGGTGGCCAAGGCCTCCTTTGCAGCCTGAAGGCAGAAGGGGGAGTGGGCCCCGCAAGGGGGCCTGGAAACTAGGACTGCTTGGTCTCCTGGGGCTGCTTCTCTGGGAGATGTTTTTCCTCTCCCAGAGTTTGCAGCTTTCCTTGCTGCTCTCTTTGTTCCACTTTTCACATTTCTGGGAAGCAAAGCGACAGTAGAGCGAATCTGGCTACAGAGGCCATGCATAGGAGTGGAGCAATTCTGAGAGTCTGCGGGCTGGGGAGACCAGAGAGTATCAGGGATCTCCAGACAATCTGCCCCTTCTCCCCTAGGAGGGCCCGTTGGCAGTGACGGCACGGACACCCTACCCTGCTCCTTCGTCCGGGTGACCCAGAAGCAGGGACTGGCAGTCCTGCTGCCCTGGGATTAGCGGTCCAGCCCCTCGTGCTTGCTCTCAGCTGAGCCCCCTCCGCTTTGGCTCCATCACACGGCGGCCACCGGCGCGGCTGTGTGGTCGGGGGCGCCAACTGCCGTTTCACATTATTTTGCCTTTAGAAAAAAAAAAAAAAAAGATCCTTCCAGTTCCGCAATTTGAGATAAAGACTGTATTGCACCCTCAAGCGGCATCTGATGGACTGTCCCCGCGGGGGGCCTGCCTCTCCCTCTGCCTCTCTGCGTCTCTGATGAATAAACAAATACGATCTTTAAAACAAAAACCACAGGCAGCCCGGGTGGCCCAGCGGTCTAGCGCCGCCTGCAGCCCAGGGCCTGATCCTGGAGACCCGGGATCGAGTCCCGCGTCGGGCTCCCTGCGTGGAGCCTGCTTCTCCCTCTGCCTCTCTCTCTGTGTCTATGAATAAATAAATAAAATCTTAAAAAAATTAAAAAAAAACCCACAAAACCCAATTCTCCTTGAGAAGCCAGTTCCGTTAAAAGACCCCCAAGTCCGGGGGCTGGGGCGGGGCTTGGACGGCGGGGGCGTGGCTGGGGCGTGGCTTGGACGGCGGGGGCGGGGCTGGGGCTGGGGGCGGGGCTTGGACGGCGGGGCCCCGCTCCGGGCTGGTGCGACGGCGGAGGGACCGCCCCCGTCAGGCGCGTCCGCACGACTTGGGGCGTGGCTTCCGGCAGCGCAGGCGCGCTTTCCGGCCGTCCCGCCGGCCCTCCTTCCTTCCGGGGCGGGACTTCCGCCATTATTGATAGGCGCCGGGCTGCACAACTGGTGGGAGGAGCGCCCAGGAGGTCGGTCCGGGTGTCCTGGCCTTCGCTTCTCGAAAGGGTACCCGGGGGGACGCTCTTCCCCGCTTTCTTTCTTGCTTCTTTCTCCGCGCGAGGCCTCGGTTTGCGCGGACACCCTGGGCTTTTGGTACGACCAGCCACCTGAGGCTCTTCCGCTTCCTCTTTTCCCAGGCCCCGCCCCCGGCGTCCCGTGGCCATGACGACGGCCCCGCGGGACTCCCTGGTGTGGCAGCTCGCGGGGCTGCTGCGGGAGTCGGGTGAGTGCGTCCCCGGCGAGCTGGGGCTGGAGCGCGGTGCGGGTGCGCCCTGCCTTCCAGGGGCGCCCCCCTCTTAGGAATCGTGGACTTACAGCTCTTTAAGGTCACGACGGTTCGGGCCTCTATGCATTTTTTTTTTTTTTTTTTTTTTACCGTTCCGGAGTATATTCTCCGGTGAGTGACGCTGCACACCTCAGCCGTCCTTCGGGACCCCGCTCCGGTGCCGCACCCTCTGATGCTTCCAGAGAAGAGCGAGCTTGACTTGGCTGCGGGTCTCTGGAGACCAGGGACAGGCATCACCATTGCTGCGGGGCAGGGCGCTCAGTGCACGAGGTTAGGGAGTCAGATTCACCGGGGTCGGGAGCCCGACTCTTTCAAACGTGGTGACGTTGCTAAGTTTTCTGAGCCTCAGTCTTCCTCGGCAGGGAAAGGGCGTAACGATCGCACTTAGACTCAAAAGGTGGTTGTGAGGTTTAATGTTAATCCCCAGAGAGCATTTAGGGCCGTGTTTGCGGAATGAGTAGAGGCTGGACACTGGTAGCTGTGGTTTCTCCAAGTTGTCTCGGTGCTGGGCGCGGCGGAGTCACGCTGGTTGGTCACTGTGGTTGACATTAGTGTGATAGAACAAGCTTTGGCTTTTTTTAAAAAAAAATCATTTTTTACTTTTTTAAAGCTTGGCTTTGAGATAAGACAGAAGTAGCAACTTGCTACCATCTGTATAACCGCAATCTTAACTGAGTATTGTTCTCCAAGACCCCGGTTTCCATCTCTTTAAGAGGTGGTCAATGGGGCAGCCCCGGTGGTGCAGCGGTTTAGCGCCACCTGCATTCCAGGGCGTGATACTGGAGACCCTGGATCGAGTCCCACGTTGGGCTCCCTGCATGGAGCCTGCTTCTCCCTCTGCCTGTGTCTCTGCTGCTCATTCTCTCTCTGTGTTTCTATGAATAAATAAATAAAATCTTAAAAAAAAAAAGAGGTGGTCAATGGTGCTTCTCTTCAGGACATTCGGTGACGTTTAAACGAGGTAATGGAGTGGTCTGCGGCATCCCACCTGATTCCTGTTAGCTGCCTCCCCGCACGTTGTACCCAGTACTCCCGTTGGTGGGGTCTGTGGAATCTCTCTTTAGAGCAGTTGTACTTTCTGGTTTGCTTCACCCCCCCCACCTCCTCGCCAAAGATTTTATTTATTTGTTCATGACAGACACACAGAGAGAGGCAGAGACACAGGCAGAGGGAGAAGCAGGCTCCCTGTGGGGAGCCCGATGCAGGACTCGGTCCCGGAACCCTGGGGTCATGACCTGAGCCAAAGGCAGATGCTCAACCACTGAGCCACCCAGGTGCCCCTCTGGCTTGTTTTGCTAACTGTGCACATGTTTTATTATCTCTTCCACACCAGGAGGCTCTTTGAGGGTGGGAGGAGTCTTTGAACCCTGTCCACATCTGTCCCTGGTGTCTAGTACCTGGAATGTCTTTCATGTAACGTTGCAGGATTTACCAGTTAGTTTGGCACCAATCTGGCCTGGTGCTCCAGGGGTTAGGGATGATGGGTGTGTGTGTGTGTGTGACTATAAGAGATAGCAAGAGAGGGATTTGTATGGTGATGGAATGGGATAGTTTTGTATCTTGGTTGTGATGTTGGTTACAGGGATCCACACCAAACAACAAAAGTGGCATAGAACTGTATGTGCGTAGCAGCATCAGATTGCTGACTTTGATATTGTACCACATTTACATAAAATGTAAACGTTAGTGGAAACCAGGTGAAGAATCTAGGTTATCTCTCTGTAATATTTCTGCAACATCTTTCAACTCTATCATGTTTTTGTTTTTGTTTTTAAAGTAGAAAAATATTTCTCCCTGCCTACCTCGTGGTTGTACTTTTGAAGGTGCAGTGAAGGATACCAAGGTGAACGAAAGATGTCCTCAAGGATGACAATCTCATTAGAGAGAGCTGTTTTAACATGGAGATTGAGAATAATACCTATTTTATAATGAGCGGTTATTTTTTCTCTGGCATGCATTTTGGGATGGTTTGAAAGTTTCTCTAAGTGCTTGTGTTACTCTTGCAATCAGAAAAAGAAGTAAAGATCAAAGACATGGGCCGTCTGGCCGGTTCAGCGGTGGAGCATGTGACTCTTAATCTCGGGGGTTGTGGGTGTGAGCCCTATGTTGTGTGTAGAGTTTACTTAAAAAAAAAAAAAGATGAAACGCTCAACTGGCTTTTATGTAAAGTGAGTGATGATAGTGTAAAAGGGCAGCAGTGCTACTCATTGAGACTCTTGCCTAGAGGAGGAAGGTCTCAAGCTGGGCAGAGTGGAAGGGAATGTGTCAGAAAATAAGGCCTCTGTGAATCAAGTTGACTGTATTCCCAGCTCTATGAGTAGACCGGACTCTCTTGAGCAGATGGTGAAAGAAAATTTGGAAAAGTTGGTTGGATGTAGTGAATGCAAAGTCATATCATCAGGCTGAAGAGTTAAGACTTTTTGTGGAGACAGAGGGGAGCTGCCCAAGACTTGTGAGCCGGGAGGAGATGGGATGACCCTGGCAGTGGAAGATCTACAATGCGGAGGAGGCTGGGTGTATCCTGGGGTCACAGAGTCTCAGAATAAAGGGAAAGAGCCCTTTGTTATGTCCTCCTCCCTGTCTGCCCCTTTCCCTGCAGGCGACGTGGTCCTGTCTGGCTGTAGCACGCTGAGCCTGTTGACTGCCACCCTGCAGCAGCTGAACCATGTATTTGAGTTGCACCTGGGGCCATGGAGCCCTGGCCAGACAGGCTTTGTGGCTCTGCCCTCTCACCCCGCCGACTCCCCTGTCATCCTCCAGCTTCAGTTCCTCTTCGATGTGCTGCAGAAAACTCTTTCACTCAAGGTCCTGCGCTGGGAATGGAGTAGGATGCTTGGGGGTGTGGGGGCAGGGGGCGTGGGCGCATGAAGTCTGCAGGGCCCGGATCCAGAAGATGTGGGAGCTGTAGGTGGCTGTGTGGAGGAGGAGGGGCCCAGGAAGGGGAGGTGTGCTGGCCTCGGTGACAGAAGTGTTTTCTTTTAGCTGGTACACGTCCCTGGTTCTGGGCTTCCAGGGCCCATCAAGATTTTTCCCTTCAAGTCCCTTCGGCAGCTGGAGGTACGGTGTGTTGGGGGATGCTGGCATACAAAACCCAATTTGAGGCAACCTTTTGGGAATGGGGAAAGAGACGGCCCCCTTTGGTGGGCAGACCAGGCCTGAGCGTGCCCACTGCTCTGCAGTGACTCACCATTCATCTCGTCCATTTAATGCTTCCCTGAACCATAGTTGGATTTGTCACCTTTTCCCTCCCTGTAAAAAGGAGGGAAGTGGGATGAAGCCTCTGCCTTTTGTGAAAGTGTCTCCCAGCCTCCCTCCCTTCCTCCACCTCAGCTCCGAGGTGTCCCTCTTCACTGCCTCCGGGGCCTCTGTGGCATCTACTCGCAGCTGGAGACCCTGATTTGCAGCAGGAGCTTCCAGGCCCTAGAGGTAAGGAAGATGAGAGCTGGGCCCGGATCCCTGTTCTAGGGACACAGAGAACCAAGCTCTGCTGTTCCCCTTCTTCGCAGCCTTCCCCGCTTCCCTGCGGACAGTGTCCTTGCCTCTCTGCTGTGCTCCCGTGGCAGCACCGTGTTCTTATGGGTGTTGATGGTCCCACCTCCCGTCTTGTACTCAGTATTCTCATGTCCAGGTCCCCATTCTTCCATAACAAACTCCTGGGGGCAGGGCCCTGGGCTTGTTGTCCGTCCATCTCTGCAGAACAAGCTTAGTATATAAAGAACAGGTGAATGGCTAGGGGACAGCACGGCCTTGGAGCAGGGAGGAGGGGACAGCGGACGTAATGGAGCACCCTGTCTCAGGAACTCCTCTCAGCCTGCGGCGGTGACCTCTGCTCTGCCCTGCCCTGGCTGGCTCTGGTCTCTGCCAACTTCAGCTACAATGCACTGACTTCCTTAGACAGCTCCCTGGTGAGTGCCTCCGAGGGAAGGGGGCTTGGGGGAAAGAGGGAGGGCCCTTAGGGAGGAGGGCCAGCTGGCTGCCTGAAGGTGTCTGATTCTTTGCTGCTCTCCCCTCTCCCTCCAGCGTCTCTTGTCAGCTCTCCGCTTCCTGAATCTGAGTCACAATCAAGTCCAGGATTGCGAGGGCTTCCTGATGGTGAGTCTGAGCAGGCTGCTTGGGGCTGGCACCACGTGGCTCTGTGATCATTCTGCTCCGACTCTCCTGGCCGGGTTTTGCTCCCACCTTGCTCCTGTCCCACACCATCCCCCAGGTTGGGCTCACCCTGGAGGCAATACTCTTTGGGAATTCAGCCCATAGCATAGGAGAAGCCAGTGTTCAGATCTCAGCTCCTAATGCTTGTGTGACTTGGGATAACCAGCCTCCAAGTTTCTTAATTTGTCAAGCAGAAATCATAGGAGGACCTGCTTTTATAGTATTAAAGTGCTCCGGGAGGTTGTGTGATGTTACGTAGCCCTGCATCTAGCTCAGGAAAGGTAGCTTGGGGATGATGGTGGAGAAGCTTCTCCCAAGTCTCATGGTCAGAGACAAAATTGGACAGTAGGGGATCCCCGGATGGCTCAGTGGTTTAGTGCCTGCCTTCAGCCCAGGGTGTGATCCTGGAGACCTGGGATCGAGTCCCACGTCGGGCTCCATGCATGGAGCCTGCTTCTCCCTCTGCCTGTGTCTCTGCCTCTCTCTCTCTCTCTCTCTCTCCTCCCTCTCATGAATGAAAAAATTAAAAAAAAAGTTAGACAGTTGTTAATGTGGTGAGGATAGATTTTAATCCGTAATACACCACTGCGGTGGTAATAAGCTATCATGCTGTGTAATCAGTAGTAAAACATCCTAATTTGAGATAAACTTCAGCATGAACTGAACTTAAATTTGATTTGTGCAGAGATTACTGGGCATTTTAAAGGGAGAGTGAGGGAGAAGGCAGAGGCTTGAGCAGAATCTCTCCTTGACCAAACTAGTCCGTTTCCTCTGAAGTCAAGGAAGTGGAAATTTACAAAAAGCAGGAAGGGGGGTTGTTGGTCCATGTGAAATCTGTCGGGGTTCAGGCTTGCGGGAGTTGGCCGCCTACCTTCCCGCCGAGGCTGGGAGACAGGGGCTCTGTCTTCAGCTGTTGATTGGACCAAACTAAATTCTCCTGGCAGCCTTGGGTTTTCCTAGGAGGGAAGGTAAGGGAGCTGGAGTTGTCTTCCCAAGGATGTGACCTTGAGCTATTAGGAACTATGCTGGTATTTGTTCAGCCCTGTTAACGTTGGTGGGGGGTGGGGTGGAGGACCTGAGAACTCTTGTAGTGCAAATGTGCAGTCTTTATAGACCAGGGTTGAGGCCTACTTGAAGAGAAGGCTCAGAGGAGCCCAGCCAGGGTCTGGTCAAGGAGAGAACCTTCATCACCACTCCTTCTCAGGACTTGTCTGAGCTCTACCATCTGGACATCTCTTATAACCACCTGCGTTTGGTGCCAAGAGTGGGACCCTCGGGGGTGGCTCTGGGGACCCTGATACTGCGAGGCAATGAGCTCCGGAGCCTGCAGGGTGAGTGCGGAGCATGGGGAGGGAGGTGGAGGACTGGGGAGTGGGGGAGGGCGGGGCAAACATGGAGGGGTGTAGGGGCGGTGTGAGACTCGGGGTGGCCTGGGTCCCTGGGTCCCGTGTGCATCCAGAGCCTAATGTGGGCCTGTGGGTAGGTCTGGGGTGCCCAGGCTCGTCTTTCTGCTCTACGCTCCCCCAGCACCCTGCCTCCCCCTGCAACACATGTCCTTCCTCCCTTCTCGCCTCTGCGCCAGGCCTGGAGCAGCTGAAGAACCTTCGGCACCTGGACTTGGCATACAACCTGCTAGAAGGACACCGGGAGCTGGCGCCACTGTGGCTGCTGGCTGAGCTCCGCAAGGTGAGCGCTCCGAGCTGGCAGCCAGCTTTGCGCCTCTCCCTCCCTCCCAGGCTGGTTGGGTTCGTGCCCTTCCTCACACAGGGAGGCCTGAGGCCCATCTCAGTCTCCTCTTCCTGCCCGTCAGCTCTACCTGGAAGGGAACCCTTTGTGGTTCCACCCTGCGCACCGAGCGGCCACCGCCCAGTACTTGTCACCCCGGGTCAGGGATGCTGCAACTGGCGTGAGCAGTCTTCTCCTGCCCACTCTGCTCTCCCTTTCCTGCCTGTCCTCCTCCCCATCCTCTCACCACCCAATCCCAGGGGAGGGAGGCCTCGGCCCTGGGCCCCTAGCTGAGCCCATGGGTCCCTGCACGGCCGGCAGGGCCCCCTGGGTGGGCAGCAGGCGTTGCACCACCAACACGGCCCCTCCCCCCTCTCTTTGCTTAGTTCCTCCTTGATGGGAAAGTCTTGTCAGTGACCGACTTTCAGGTTAGTGTGCTGGGAGCACCGGCAGGAGGAGGCCATCCGAACCCACTTGGGAGGACAGGAAAGAGGAGGGGGCCCCTGGGTAGGGGTTCCTTCTGGGCAGCTATACAGTAGGCCCCTCCGTTGGCTCGCCCAGTGGGCAGAGGTGCACCTCTGGCTCCCACCTCACCCTCCTTCCTGTTGTCACACGCCAGACTTCCACGTCCTCGGGGCTTGGCTCCTCGGCTACACCTCTGCATGGGCCAGCTGGGAGTACTGTCGAAACCTCAGGTGGCCCTGACCTGAGTGACAGCATCTCCTCTGGGGGCGTTGTGGCCCAGCCGCCTCACCGGAAGGTCAAGGTAAAGAGCGTCTCTGTGCCTGGGGTTGGGCCTTTTATGGGGGTCCTGGGTTATGGATGGGCTGGGAAGAGAGAAGCCACCTCCTTGCCTGTGGGGGTTTTTCTGGGTAAGGGTGGATGTGTGGCGATGGACAGCGGGGTGGGGGGCCCTGGCTCTCAGAGAGCGTTGGTCCTGTGTCCACCTTCAGAGCCGGGTCCGTGTGAGGCGGGCAAGTATCTCAGAACCCAGTGATACAGACCCAGAGCCCCGGACTCTGGATCCCTCCCCGGCTGGTAAGTGTGCTGTGGCCCGGCTGCCCTGCCCTCCGTCCTGCCCTCTGTCCTGCCCTCGTCCTGCGTCAGTCCTGCCCTCTGTCCTGCACCAGTCTCTGAGCGCTGCGGTGCAGCAGGGCACTATAGAGGGCCTCAGTCCTTCTAGTTTAAGGAAAGAAGAGACTGCCCCTGGACAGCATTTTCCAAAGGGTTTTTCAAGGAACGTGAATTGTGGGGGATGTGGAAGGGTCACTTGATGAAAGCTGGGCTGACCAGCGTTAACTAGGCGTACTCCCTCCGGGACATCCCAGGACCCCTGTACACTCCCAGGTATCCCGAATCCCTTCCCCGGCAGCATGTGCTGCATGGTTCCCACCGGCCCTGAGCACAGTGTTCCCTGGGGCACGCTTTGGGACACGCTGCTGAGGGGGCAGCCTTTGGTCTCCCTCTGATCCCCCATTACATCACTTCACCTCGAGGAGCAGTGGGAGAAGAGGCTGGGGTCGTTGGGGGTCGTGGGGAGGCTGCAGGCTCGCTAAGCGGTCCGCTCCCCACTGGCCCAGGGCGGTTTGTACAGCAGCACCGGGAGCTGGAACTCTTGAACAGCTTCCGGGAACGGTTTGGCTGTGACTGGCTGCAGTACAGGAATCACCTGGGGGCGTCTGGGACCCCTGTTGTGGCTACGTCCTCCAAGGCCCCTGCCCTCAGCACGCTGCCCCTGAGCCCAGGGTCTGTGCCCGGACCTCCGCCCCCAGAGAAGGAGTCCCCGCAGGAAACGGCGGAGGAGGTCAGGCCAGAGCTGGAGCTCCAGGAGGAAGGGGGGCTGGAGGAGCAGGGGAAAGAGGAAGAAGGAAAGGAGGACGAGGAGGAGCAGGAGCCCGATGAAGTGGAAGGTGAGCAGTGAGCGCTCGCTTAGCAGCTGCCAGGGAGACTGGGCCAGGTGCTGCTGGTACATCTGGGAGAGTCGGGAAGACCAGGCTTGGGGGGGTGGGGGGCTGACCCCTTCTGGAGGGAGGGCCAGAGGTTGCGGAGACCTGTCCCTCTCACAGGATTGCTCTCCTGGTCTCTGCAGTGGAGCTGTGTCGCCCCATGTTGGTGTGTCCCCTGGAGGGGCCGGACGGTGTGCGGGGCAGGGAATGCTTTCTCCGGGTCACCTCCAGCCACCTGTTTGAGGTGGAACTCCAAGCAGCTCAGACCCTGGCCCGGCTTGAGCTCCAGAGCCTGGAAGCGGCCGAGGTGGAGCCTGAGCCTCAGACCGAGAGGGCAGCACTCGAGGTGAGCGGTGGTGTCAGGGGTCCTGGCAGGGGTGCTGGGCTCCCTGTAGGATCCGACTGGGACAGTTGGGTGCTAGGTGCCAGGCACCGAGTGAGTCTCCCCAGCCTCTCATGGACACTTGGAGCAACGCAGGGGAGCTGTGGGGGCCAAGACGTGGCCCCAGACAGCCTGGAAGGCTGGACTGAGGGGTTGGGCCGCTGAGCTAGAGTGTGGATGTCAGCAGGCACGTTTTCACGACGTCCGGAGCTGATTTTCTTGCACTCTGTCAGTATAACCCAGATGCCTCCAATCCCTCCCTTCTGTTTCCTGCCTGGTGCCCGTGTGTGTGTGCAGGGCTCAGATCCCCTCCCCGGGGCCCCTGTCCTCGTTCTTCGTTTCTCCTACATTTGCCCTGACCGGCAGCTGCGTCGCTATGTGGTGCTAGAGCCCGACGCCCATGCAGCTCTCCAGGTAACAGCCTCGAGTGAGGCCCAGGGGGCTGGGGGAAGACTGGAAGGCTGAGGGCCGGGGTCTGTTGCTCACACCTGCTTCCGGCCCATCCTGTTTCAGGAGCTGCTTGCTGTGTTGACCCCAGCAGCCACCACGGCTCAGCGTCAGCTTGGGGAAGCAAGAGACCCGCTGCGGGGCAGACTCCAGTGTCTCCGCTGTGGCCAGGAGTTCAAGCCAGAGGAGCCCAGGTTGGGGTTGGACAGTGAGGAAGGCTGGAGGCCTCTGTTCCAGGAGACAGGTACAGTACCTTGCCCTTGACCTTCCTGCGCACAAGCCTCCTCCCCCTCACCCGTTTCAGAGACCGTGGCTTCGAGGAAGGGAATATGGAGGGGGAGCCCCGGGAAGGAAGGAGTGGGCACCAGTTCTTCTGTCTGGAGGAGAAATGAAACTGTCTGCCGGATACATTAAAAAAAAGAAAAATCCAAGTGAAAGAAGAAATTTTATCCTTTCTTTCTCTCTAAAAGTCAGGAAACGCAATCTCTCTAATTGTTGAAACGTACTCATTATTTTTTCATAACTTGCAGGCTTTTTCCACTTTTTCTGGCTGATCCTTAGAAACTTCATAAAAGCTCCTTAGCCCTCACCACAGTGTGGGTGTAGTGCTGTCCCCAGAGCATGTTTGGCTGTTGAATAAGATGTTTTGGGAGTTGGCTGAGGTTGTCCTGCCTGTACTGACCTTGTGGGCTACTTGAGATCGAGGGATGCCTCATGGCATCTCTTCACATGCTCTTCCTTAAAGCGAGAGAGTTTTCTACCATGGATCAGTCCGGAAGCAACGTCTTTATAGATGTAAAACAGAAAAGAGATATTCTTGATGCTGTCTGTGTTGAAACGTGTGACTTACTAGCTGGTTTGGCTGCTTGGCAGCAGCTGGACAGGACTAAAATTTTGAGCAAATAGGCCCCTCTCCATCCCCCACCCTGAACCTCTGCGGTGGCACCAGGTGTGCGGTGGAAACAGCCCCATCCCCTCCAAGACCTGCCTGTACCGCGTGGGGTCACATGGCCCCTGGGTTCTTTTTTTTTTTTTGGCCCCTGGGTTCTGAACCTTTGGGGGTCATTATTATTGAAATAATGTGTGTGCTGTGTTCTTCTGTTTGAGCCTCGGTTACCTCATCTGAATAGAGAAGAGAGTGAACTTGCCCTCCATACTGTTAGGAGATTTATTTATTTATTTTTTAAAAGATTTTATTTATTCATGAGAGACACAGAGAGAGGGAGAGAGAGGCAGAGATACAGGCAGAGGGAGAAGCAGGCTCCATGCTGGGAGCCCGATGTGGGACTCCATCCGGGGACTCCAGGATCACACCCTGGGCTGAAGGCAGGCGCTAAACCGCTGAGCCACCCAGGGATCCCTTGTTAGGAGATTTAAATGTGATAAAGGGACACCAGGCACAGTATCAGTCCAAAACAAAGGTCCTGTGTAAATGGTAGCTGCCGCTGCTAGCCTCAACTGGACAGTCGAGGGCAGGAGGTGTCGATTTTTTTTTTCTTTAAGATTTTATGTATTAAGGAGAGCGAGAGCACAAGTAGGGTGAGGGGCAGTGGGAGAGGGACAAGCAGACTCCTAGCTGAGCAGGGAGCCAGATGCTAGGCTCGATCCCAGGACCCGGAGATTGTGACCTGAGCCAAAGGCAGACACTTAACTGACAGCCACCCAGGTGCTCCAGTTTTTTTTTTTTTTTTTTTTTTTTTATTTTGAGAGAGTAGGAGAGCAGGTGTGCATGAGCAGGGAGCAGAGTGGGAAGGAGAGGGAAGGAGTCTCAAGCAGACTTCCTGTTGGGCGAAGGGCCTGATGGAGGGCTGATCCTATGACCCCAAGGTCATGACTGCAGATGAGCCAGAACCAAGAGCCATCTGCTCAACTCACTGAGCCTCCTATGTGCCCTAGGTTGTGTTAATTTTTGACGATTGTTTTCCTTATTTGCACATTGGGACCCAGAGAGTTTTGATTCTATTGTCAAAGGGTCCCGTGTGCCTGCTGTAGCTGCTCAAAGAATGTTTGCTCTCACTGCAGATCCACCTGCCCGCCCCATCCTTTATTCTTTACTTGACCGTTCACCCATCCTGACCACCCCGTAGGACAGGCACTGGCATCACTCCATTCCAGAGGAGGAGCTAGGCTCCGAGAGCTTAGGTGACTTGTAATTGGATAGCTGACACCAGTAAGTGACAGAGCCTGGAACTGGACCCACACCTGGCTCCCTGCCTTCCCGATCTGTTGATTTGGGGTTTTCAGATGTGGCTGGTGGAACCTCAGAGCACATGACAGCCCGAGGCTGTGGGAGGGGCCTGCGCAGGGCCTGGCTGAGGTTGGTCCTCTTTGCAAAGGCCTGAAATCAGAAGGTGGGGTGTTATTTTGAGGAGGTTGTGGGCCATGGTCTGGGTTGGTTCCTCCCTCACTGGGTTGGAGAGCGGTGGGTTAGCAGGCCTGCAGAGGAGGTGGGAGGGAATGGCAGGGAGTGTATGCAGCCAAGGTGAGTCCAGGAGGGGGCGGGCAGTGTTATGAGCTTGGGGTGGGGGAGGACTGTGGCCTTCTGTTGGGGGGCTCACAGGGACGGTGCTCATCCCTGCAGAATCTCCAGCTGTATGTCCACACTGCGGTAGTGATCATGTGGTTCTCCTGGCTCTGTCTCTGGGAGCCACCAGCAGGGAGCCTGGGCAGGGAGAACAGTCGCCAGAGCCCTCGCAGACGGTCAGTGCCGTCCCCGACCCTCCGGGGCACAGTGACCCCGGCAGCAGGGCTGACAGGGCCCCGTCCCCAGCACCGGTCTCCCAGGATCGCCACAGTTGGAGCCTCAGTCCCCGTGAGTAGAGGTGAAACGAGACAGAGGTGGTGTTTTGGGGGCGGGAGGAGGCCGGCCAGGGAGGCGAGCTGGTGCTGTGGTAGCCGGGGTCGCCTGACGGCCCGCTGCTTGCCCCTAGCCCCTGAGCGCCATGGCCTCCGCTCTGTGGACCACCGGCTCCGGCTCTTCCTGGATGTCGAGGTGTTCACCGATGCCCAGGAGGAGTTCCAGTGCTGCATCAAGGTCTCTGCCCCTAGCTCACCAGAGTGCCCACTCTTTCTGCCGTAGCAGGCCGTGTCACAAAGTGGCTTGAGAAGCTCCTGGTTTCAACTCTAGAGGTCACTTGCAGTGGCTCTGGACACGTTCCTTTGGTACCTAAGTCTGCTGTTGCCAGTCTACACCAGGGATGGCACTGCCTGCCTTACAGGGTGCAGTGGTATCTGCGCACCGGCGTCTGGCAGCTGCCTAGCTCAGTGGCAGGCCCTCACGTGGGGCCTCCCGTCACTGTTAAAAGTGACAGTGTTATTGGTGTCTCTGTGGGCACCTAGCATTTGCGAGGCACTAAGGATTCAGAGTAAATCAGTCTTGCCATCTGTCTTCTATTCTGGTGTGAGGAACCCCATGACTGTGAGAGATGAAAGTGCTGGAATCAGGCTGAGGCGTCGGACCCAGCCTGAGGGACAGCGCCTCCCCTTCGAGGGGAGCAGATGTGAGATGGGATCCAGGTGTCGAAGGATGGGTTGGAGGGGAGCAGGGAGAGGAAGCAGCGCATGCATGGGGGCCTGAGAGGAGCTGGCTAGTGTGGAACCTGTTGCTCTGGGGGCAGCAGGAGGTGGGGTGGGGGCAGGTGCCCTGGGACAAGGCTGAAGAGGCAGGCAGGGCCAGTTGGGGGGCAGCCTCAAGTGTCTGCCAAGGAGTTTGGAGCTGATCCCAAGGGCCGCGGGAGCCCCGGAGGCAGGGGAATGTGGAGAGTGGGTCGGAGTGGCATGATGCTAGGCGGCGGGTTCCCTGTGAGCCGACTGCAGGTCCGGATGCGGGGAGTAGGGGAGGGCCGCGGGGACTGTGCTCTCAGCCCGGCAGCCGACTCCCCGGTCCCCTTTCTCCTCACCTTCCTCTCCCCCTTAGGTGCCGCTGGTGCTGGCCGGCCACTCTGGGGAGTCCGTGTGCCTGGTGGTGGTGTCTGACCACAGGCTTTACGTGCTGAAAGTGACGGGGGAGATATGGTGAGCGAGCAGGGCCATGGGATGGGGCAGGGCTCCCCGTGGGTCTCGCTCCGCTCACCCGTTGCCACCACTCCGGCCCTCCCTCTCCACAGTGGGCCTCCAGCCAGCTGGCTGCAGCCAGCCCTGGCTGTGCCCCTGCATGACCTGAGTGGCATTGAACTGGGGCTGGCGGGACAGAGTCTGCGGCTGGAGTGGGCTGCCGGTGCAGGCAGCTGCATCCTGCTGCCCCGAGATGCCAAGCGTTGCCGGGCCTTTCTGGATGAGCTCACCGGTAAAAGAGGGGGAAGGGAGGCGCAGGGCGGGCGGGTGGGGGCCGAGGGGTCACGGCTGCTCACGTCTGGGAGCCGCAGTGGAGACAGACAGGTGATAAGGCTCGTCCCTTGTAGAGGTTTCTGACCTCTAGAAATCAGGAGAACGGAAGGTCTTGAGAGGTGGAGAGGTTGGGATAGAGGAGAGGGAGCGTCTGAAGCTCCCCATCCCTGGCTGGCTCTGTCCAGATGTCTTGCAGGCTCTGCCCCCCAGTTGGAGGAGCGGTGTCAGGGCCACAGAGGAGGAGGTGACCCCGAAGCACCGCCTCTGGTGAGTGGATAGGAGGTCGAGGCTGCAGTTGGTGCCCACACAGCCGCTCGGAGTGCAGGCCTTTCCACAGGCTGCAGCCATGGCTGGGCCCTGAGCACCTGGGCGGCCGCCTGTCCTCACACGTGACCCCACCCTGGTTGATCCTCCCTGCCCCCCTCAGCATTTCCTACCCCCTGGCTGACCAGTCCTTCCCCGCCAGGCCATTGCTGGAGAGAGACTCTTCCTCCGGGCCTCCCCTGTTCTTCTACCTTCGGGTGTTCCTGGTGGAAGGTGAGGCTCCTGTACTCTGTCCTGCCCAGGCCCCTGGCAGGCCCCCCAGGGCCGCTCTGTACAGTTTCTAGAATCTGGACGTCCTCTCACAGCCACAGCCTCAGTCCTCCTGGCCTCTCTGAGTGGGGCCGGGAGGTTTCCTGGGTCTTCAGTTGCTTCAGGGTACAGGCTTTCTGTGAGTGGAGCAGATTGGCTGGGCCTGCCCCTCTCCATCCTGTCAGAGGAGGCCGGGAGGCTGTAGGGTGCCCTTTGTCTTGGGTCTTCGAGGTTTTGGAGGCTAGAGATGCCTGGAATTTGGAAAAGGGAGGGCTGTGGCCTCCAGGGGCACAGGCTGCCCGGTGACCACCTTGGCAGCATGTGGTTTGCTCCTGCCCCAGTGCCAGGATGCCGCCCCAGGGCTCTGGGCTCCTCTGTGGCTTCCTACTCTGGGCCTCACCCTGTCTCTTTTCCTCTAGGCTCCGAGGCCTGCCCTGTGTCCCTGATGATGACTCTGTCCACCCTGTACCTGTTAGAGGAGGATCTTGTGGGGTCCCAGGTGGAGCCCACTCTTCCAGCAGCATCTGGCGAAGCCTCTGAGCAGTCCCTGCCCTTGGGGCTGGGCCCTTCTGTGCGCATCAGGGAGCAGTGGCCCCTCAGCAGCTTGAGCTCGGTGCTGCTCTATCGTACGGCCCCGGGGGACCTGAAGCTGGTCTTCTACGATGAGGTGTGTGTGAGAGAGAGATGCGGGGAGTGGGGAGCAGTCGTGGTGGGGGGAACATGGAGAAGCAGGGCTCAAGGAGCTGGGGGCTCGCTGGGTTTGGATGAGCAGCAGGTAGAGAGGGTCGGGGCTGGCGGTGGGGGCTGGGGGCGGCGGAAGCTCCCGGGCCTGGATCCTGCCTTGTGTCGAGGGACACCTTTCATGACGCACTGGCTGCTGCTTGGAGTCTGCATTTGTTCAGAGGGAGCCAGCCCTCTGATCTTCCCAGCTTCTGTGGGAAGAGGTGCTGTCATTAGGCTTAGGACGGATGGAGAAACTGAGGCTCAGAGGCAATTAACCAGTGTGTTTGGGTCACAAAGGGTAGATCCAGGAATTGAACTCCATCCTTGGAATTGACTCCAGAACGTAAGTTCTGGAAAACAGGGCTGGGAGTGGGCAGTGGTTTAAAGAAACAAGACCGAAGCCGTGGGGGTTCTTCAGTAGGTGTTCTGATTAAGCAGCTCCAAGTTGGGTTTTCTGAGGACTGACAGGCTCAGGGGCAGGAAGGGCCCCCTAGCCTCAGCTAACCACGCCCGCTCTGCCAGGTGTCCCGGCTGGAGAGTTTCTGGGCGCTTCGCGTCGTGTGTCCGGAGCAGCTGACAGCACTGCTGGCCTGGATCCGGGAGCCCTGGGAGGAGTTGTTTTCCATCGGACTCCGGACTGTGACCCAAGAGACTCTAGATCTTGACCGGTGAGGCTTCTGTGCCCACCCTGCCTGCCTCGGGAGCCGTGGCTGCAGATGCTCCTTCCTCGGACCCCTGCTGCGGACTTCGGCAGCCTTGGGGGCTCGTCAGTGAGGCCCCGGTGACCCAGGGCACACGGGCAGGGTGAGAGGAGTCGCTTGGCCCGATTGGGCCCAAGGGGCAGGCTCCGTGGTTGGTAGGAATGTTTCTCTTGCACTTTGTCTCAGGTATCAATAAAATTGCTTCCATTCCGGATGCTACGGGGGTACATCCATGTGTCACTCTTCAGCCTGCTGCTCCTTCAGCTCTTCTAACACACAGCACCCCGCCCACAGCTCCCCCTGCAGAGGGCAGCCCAAGCAGCCTCAGCCTTGTCTATCCTGGGAGCCCCCTCTGCCCCAGCTGAGGGGAGCAAGTAGGACCCCTGACCCGTGGGTACCAGGCCTCAGCGAGCCAAGCCTGTTAGGGGGCCCGACGTGGATATTACTGCCCAACAAACAGGGCCAGTTAGGTTCTAGGTCTCAATTTACAGCTGGGAAATAATGAGTATCTCCAGCCGTGGGCAGTGGGCGCTGGGGGTGAGGGGTGTCTGGGGAGGAGGCGGGTGGACACGGGCTGTGGAGGGAGCGCTCGCCCCCTCCTCACGCAGCCTGGTCCTTCACCTTCACCTCTGTCCCCGCAGCCACAGTGATCTGTCCAGAGGGGCTCACGTGCTCGGTGTGGTTGCTAGAGCACCCAAGAAAGAGGCTCACTTTCCCCGTGAGGGGTGCTGAGAGGGTAAGGCTGGAGCCGTGGGCCATGAGTGGGGAGCTTTCCTGAGAGCGGAGCCGTGCAGAGAGGTGGAGGCGGGAGCAGGAGCGCACAGGGCCATGTCCTGCTGGTCTCTCCGGGGTCCCTGGACCAGCTGTGCCTGTAGGCAGCCCCTGGAACTTCAGGTTATGTGAACTAAAGGAGGTCCCTTCCCATTTCTTCTCTCTCTCTCTCTTTCTCTCTCTCTCTCTCTCTCTCTGTCTGGCTTACGCTAATTGGAACCAAATAATGAGCTGCAGAAAGGGTCCCAACTACATAAATCCCCACTCTGACTTGAGCCAGTGTGACCTGGGATTTGATCTTTGCACCTGAAAATGGACACAGCAGGACGAGTGGCCCCCACGTGTCTGTGCAGAGGCCCTGGGAGGAAGGCTCGGGCACGGAGCATTGGAGGCTCCAGCCCAGCTGCCCTTCGGCCCAGAAGCTGGGCTCTTGTTGAGTCTGCTGTGTGGTTGTGGGGTGGCTCTCGTTTATGGAGCAGTGAAATGCTGGGCCCTGAGCCAAGTGCCTAGTGATGGTATCTGCTCCTCACGGGGGTCTGGGAAGTGGGTGGCTTCTCATTACAGGAAGTGGGCTTAGAGGAATTAAGCGACTCGTTCAAGGTCACGTCAGTAAAGGGAGGAGACCTGATGTGTCCAGGCTCATATGACCTCACGGCCTGGCATTCAGCAAACCACAGAGCCCCACAGCCTCCCCTTCCCTGCCGTTAAAGGGCCTCCATGCCCATCCCCGCTCACGGGGTGGGACCTCGGCCCCCCCTGCCCTGCACAATCCTGCACTTGTCCAGTACAGGCGAACCGGATGGACCGTACGTATCTGAAGTCATGAGATGTTAGGTGAAGTATTGATCCATGGGGGATTTTCAGCCCTTCCGGCTGAAAAGCAGAGAACAAAGATGCCAATCGTCAGGCGTTAAGTGGAAGGACTAAGCGGTAAGAAATTTGAAAGGGTCATAAAAGGGTATCAAGAGCTCTGCAATGGGATGAGGGGAGAGTTATTTTTTTAACTCTTTTTTTTTTTTTAAAGGTTTTGTTTATTCCTGAGAGACAGAGAGAGAGGCAGAGACACAGGCAGAGGGAGAAGCAGGCTCCCTGCGGAGAGCCTGATGCTGGACTGGGATCACACCCTGAGCCAAAGGCAGATGCTCAACCACTGAGCCACCCAGGCATCCCGTGAGGAGAGTTTTTAGAAAAAGGCATTAGGAGCAGGGTAGGAACAATTCCTTCTAACACTGGGAACTTCCAAGTGCAGGGCCTGTGCGTAGCCCTGTGTTTGGAATTAGGGAGGACGATGACATGTCAGATGCTCCCTATGCCACCAGGGCACATGGAGATGGTCTTTAAGGTCTCGGCAGGTTAGTTGCCCAGATTTCTCTTGAATGGAGAAGAAAGGGAGTCCAGAGGACCTTATGGGCCCCTGGAGTCACATGGAAGTCAGCTGAGAGTGTGCTAGCGAGCTTGCCCCTCGGGCAGTCCTTGGTGGAGCGCAGCAGGAGGGTGGTATAAGCCCAGCCCCCAAATGGGGATGTGACCAAGTCGGACTTGAATAGATTGAACTGAAATCAGTGATTAAGCTAGTTTGACTTGAATGTTACCAGATTAACTTCTCTGTTGGTTAGAGATGGGAGCTCATTACGAGGATAATAACAATAAGGATATAGTAGAGGTATCAAGAAAAAAGTCATTTTTGCATACCTGAATTTGGAGGACTGCCATGTTCCTGGAATTCCTATTATCATTGGAAAGGTCAACGTAGGAGGGTTTGTAAGGTGTGGACCTGGAGGGCAAGGGGTATGTGTGGTTTCTTGGGGTTACTCCTTTCTCCCCACTAGAAGGCCTTTGACTTAGGGTTCATGGGGGGGATGTGCTCTGGAGACTTGGTCAGGCCTCACTATAAAGCTATTTTGGGGACAACCCTGATGGCCCAGTGGTTTGGCACCGCCTTCAGCCCGGGGCATGATCCTGGGGACCTGGGATCGAGTCCCGCGTTGGGCTCCCTGCATAGAGCCTGCTTCTCCCTCTGCCTGTGTCTCTGCCTATCTTTCTCTGTCTCTCATAAATAAATGAGTAAAGTCTTAAAAAAAAAAAAAAAGCTATTTTGGGGAAGTCCATGGTGGGGCCTAGGGTCAGGTAGGCCAGAGAAGACTTAGGCTCCTGGGGCCCACTTCTTCCCGTGACCCAGCTAGCCCTCTGCAAACCCTGGGGCCCCAGAATATGGAATCGCATGGGAAGTAATCATTGTCACTGGAGGACGGTCACTCAGCTTCCTGCCCTAACTCACAAAAGAGCAAAAGTACAATAGAGAAGGCCCTGGATTCAGAGGACGAGAAGGAGCTGATATTGGTGAGAGTCCCCTCCTTAGTTCTGCCTTTTTTTTTTTTTTTAAGATTTTATTTATTGTAGAAAGATGGTGAGCATGTATGTGTGCACGACGTGGGGGAGGGGCAAAGGGCCAGGGACAAGCCGACTCCATGCTGAGTGGGGAGCCCGCCGTGGGGCTTGCTCCCAGGGCCCCAAGATTGTTACCTGAGCCGAAGTCAGATGCTTAACCAACTGAGCCGCCCAGGCGTCCCAGGCCTGCCTTTTCTGACCCTCGTGTGGGTCAGCATTGTTCCTGTCCTGAAACGCGCTCAGTACGTAGCCATTCATGAGTACATTGAATGGGTGAGTTTATTTATTCCTTCACTTGACAGAGATTGATAGGACACAGGTTCTACTGCAGAGCCTGCTGGAGCGTGTGTCAGGGCAGGAGGGTTTCTCCAGTGGCTCATAAACTACCCCCAAGAAAGCAACTACCTTCTCTGGGCCAGGGCTGCTGGGAGGGGACGGTGGTGCCAGCATCTCCTTTTCCCAAGTGTTTCCTACAGTCCTTTGATCCCAAGATATGGAACCAGTGAGGTTGAGGAAGGAGCCCTCAAGTGTATGGAAATGATGCAGATCCGGAAGACTGGTGCTGAGGCCCCAGAGAGGGGGCTTCTCCCGTGTTGTGGAGACAGATGGTGTCTCTCCCTCCCTCCTCCAGCAGGACCCTGGTCCCTCTAGCTGGAGAGCGGGGAGGAAGCCGTGTGCATCTTGGAACTGGCCAGTCGGTAAGGGCTGGCTAGGGTGGAGGGCCCAGAAATGTCGGTGCAGAGGTTCAGAAAATAAGCTCACCTACTTCTGTTTGCTCAGAGCTGGCCTGAATTTTTAATTGAAGCAAATTAAAACCTCCCAAAAATACTAGTCCACTTTGCAGGCAGTGCGCACACCCCCTTCCTCGTCCGCGCTCCCGCACACTCTGCAGACAAGCCGGGACTGGCCCTGAGAAGGACCTTGTGCAGCCCCCGGCCCAGAGCTCCCTTTCAGAGGGGCCAGGCCCACTTACAGGTGCCTCCCCCAGAAGGCCCACTGGGTCCTGGTCCAGGTAGGGCAGGCTCCCCTGCAGTCCTTTTTTTAAAAAGATTTTATTTATTCATGAGAGACATGGCTGAGGGAGAAGCAGGCTCCCTGCAGTCCTTTTAGGATGATTTGCAAAGACGTGAGGCTGGAGCCATTGAGGAGCTCCCTCCATTTCTTGGTGCTTTAATTCTCTGCAGGCGGCTTTAACAGTGTGACAAAGTCCTCTGCACCCCTTGTCCTGTGGGTGCTCTTTGCGGAAGACAAGGGCTGGTATTGGCCCCCGGGGTAGCGGCCAAGGGTGAGGCCATTGCCGCCCCTGGAAGCGTCTGACCTTAGCTCTGCACCTCACTAGGTGTCAGGATGCACCTGCTTCTGACGCCCTGCCTCGCCCTGGGACTGCTTTGCTACTGATGCTTGTGCACAGCTGTCCGCCCGCGAGCACTTGCCTCTCACACCCTGGGCCGGCCCCAGGGATCGACTGGTCCACTCACTCTGGCCTTCCCCCCTCCCCCAGCAAGTGCTTATTGATCGGCTGTCTGGTCTTGGGCTTGCTGGCAGTGCAGGCCTGAGGCATGCAGGCCTGAGGCAGTGGGGAGAAAGGATTTGCTCCCTGAAACTGTGACAGCTCTCTGCCACCTTTTTCTGTAGAAATAAGGTAGGATGGGATATACTCGTGTTTGCTTGTGTTTGTATAAGTGAGTTCCAGAGAGACAAGCAAATTGGTGGTGGGGGAACAAGATGAGAAGAGCGCAGGAGACAGGGATGGTATTGAGGCTCTGTTACTTTTTGTTTTAAAAAGATTCCTAACCCCCCGAACATCTTTTGATTCAAAAGTAATAATTAAAAATTTAGATGAGGCCGTAGGGTGTCAGTGGACACAATTGAATGATATATTTTTATTTATTTTTATTTTATTTTGTTTTTTGAATGATATATTTTTAAACGTATTTTTATTCTTTCTTAAATTTTCTTTTTTTTTTTAAAAGATTTTATTTATTTATTCATGAGAGAGAGAGAGGCAGAGACACAGGCAAAGGGAGAAGCAGGCTCCATGTAGAGAGCTCAATG